CACTGAGAAGGCCAAATGGGGGCATCGCGCGTCAGGCCAGTCTCTCGAGTGGAACCCCGATGGGAAGCTACGAGTTGGGCGTCCGAGGCGAGGGTGACATGGAGGAGATCGTGCAAGGAAGAAATGAGAACTTGTGGGCAGTCGTGGAACCAGGTTCAAAAGATTTCAGAGAAGTGAATGGAGTGGAGACGTGCTAGTGAAGCCCTATGTTCCACTAGGAACCCAAGAGACAAATAATAACAATATAATAATACACACTGGATGACACCTTGACTATATTCATTTGCGTGATGAACTGATATTACTTCTACAATAGGTTGGAAACATCTGATTTTGGTTTACCACTGGTCTAAGGATTTTCAGAACATTAATAAAAAGTAGGAGTCTGAGTAAAGAATATTTTTTGTGGATTGTAGGGCAATCACCTTTTCTCTTTTAAGGTAATCAATATCATGATACAAGATGAATTACTGGCTTGGTTCGGAAAGTGCAAGATAAAATTGGTAAACGTTCCGTTCTAGTGCATCACAGAGTATCACATAGAAACTGGTCAAACTTTCAACGTCATCCATCATATTCCTGTACCACAATACCACGTGTGGTTCACCGATCTCTGCTCAATTCCGCGTAGGCTGTTGCAATGAGACTGATCAAACGTGAACTTTGCACTGAGGAAGAATAGGTTTAAACGTTATTCTCTCTTGGCCCTCAGTAAACTAAAGGCCACTCCGATTATTCGTTGTCTTTTCACACACTATCACATGGTATCCTGATATTGATAAATGTAAAAAAGTGAAGTCGATTTCCTAACACTCCCTAAATCTTACTCCATTTGGAAAATGAAGTTGTCCTTAACCTGGCTTGGTTGTACGCTGTACAAATGAATTTTATAATTGTAGAACCTGATGAAAATTTATTGAAAAGAAATTCAGATTGTTGCTCTTTACCATGAATCTGGTTTGAAGAAGAATTCAGAAGAATAACATGTGAAAGTGGTGTTTTTAGAGACCTAAAACCTCTATGGAGATACTTTTTTACTAAACAACTAGGTAAATCACATCATGATTATGTTTACGAAATAGTTGAGTGATTTACTCTCTTTTCATTGCATAAACCAGAGAGGCCTTTCTTTCACTGACTAGCTGTCACAATACCTTTAATATAAACCCAGTTTTTGCATCAACAATGCTTCTACTTGGAGTGATAGGAACCCGTATTTAAGCATAATTGTGTAGCTGGTAACCAACTCCGCATATCTTTATTTTTCAAAAACTTATTGCGAAACACGTGTTCTAAATGGTCCACTGAACCAGGCCAACATCTGCGTTTCCATTCCTTTTTCTTTACCATCAAACAACTACATGCATGTGATATGTTAATATGGAAACCATCATATTATGTAAGTGTTATGCATACAACTCAAGTTGTTTAATCTAGATGTCTACTATTTCTGCAGTTTGAAGGATCTTGAGCTGAGTACCTCATAGCAAGTTGACGAGAACGCAGTAGGAAGTGGGGAACGACTCATTTATATACACTTTATGGTTCCTTTCTACCAAGTATGGTTATACGGAGCTGCGGATGGTCTTTACTACACCTTTACCTAACCACGCTGTGATGTGTTCACGAGCATGGATAAGTAAATTCCTAGGGCAGCGGCTGACGTAACTGGCTTCACAGAAGCAGTCGAACACAATAGGAAGTTGCCAGTCCATGTAATTCATTTTTCAGTCTCATTGTCACCAATGGGCGTGCGGAAAACGAGATTTGTAGTTTACCAGCATTAAAAGTTCTCTGCATTAATCCAGGTGGTTTGTGAATCAACATCTTGCTTAGAAAGTTACCTCTTAATTGTACTCAATTGTTTAGCAATTTCCCATTAGCTGTTGGAACATCTTTTCTTGCCGTTTTTGAATTTACCAAGAAAGCGATTCACGATTAGTGTGCTGTGCAAAGCTGCCAGTTCCTCTTCAACTCCACCTTCCCAATATATAGCCTGTACTCTGTAACCAGGGGTTTTACTAAATTTCTCTTGTACTGGAGGGGGGCGAAGCTGAGAAAATGTGTGTATTGTCCCGTCGATAAACTTTTCCTAAAGAAATTCCTCTTTATCCTGAGAGAAGAATATCGAGAAAAGTTATCTTGTCTTGTGACTGTTTCTCACATGTAAACTTCCTCTCTGTATATACCGCGTTGAATCTACTAAGCATCTTTAACCTTTCCACGTTGGTTTCGCACAGGATCAATGTATCATCCACATGTCGACAGTAAAATGGAAATTCCCAGATAGATCATTCAAGTAAACCATTCTCCAGTTTCTTGAGAAAAAAGTTCATTAATATGGAACGTAACCCACTGACAAGCTCATCGCTACTTCATTTACTTGATAGCATTCTGAAAACAAATGATGCATACATGCTATCGAATGACTGTTTGTAACGAGCTGTTTCGTATCTTGACTGCTCAGGATCTAAGACTTTCACTTCATTTATTATACTTTATAGAAATATAACTTCCAAAAGAGTTAGTAAATTGAAGGTATCATACAAAGATGTAAATAATTTACTTTTCTTAGAACCATTACAAGTATCATTCCAAATACGGCTATACCTTATACCTTATATACCTTATTAAAAACCTACTCAATATACCGTCATTCATAATTCTAAGGGCTACTGACAATTCAAAGAATGTAATAAGGGATCAGTTTTATATAACAGCCCTTTTATGTCTGATAGAAGACGAATTGATGTTCCCTGGAACTTTATTTCATAGACAACATCTTGAAGAGGACATCTAGTTTATTACCTTGACGATCGTTAAAATATGTTTCTTCAATACACAAAACATTTGTTCAGCACTATGACTGTATTTGGTTAATTAGTTAACTGCAAATAAATGAGGTGAAGTCTGTATTAAGTGGGTGTGATTACAATGAGTAGAACCCAATTATAAGTTGACTAACTTCATCGATTGACATCAGTTAGCGAACCATTGAAAACCTCTTGTTGATATGCTTGTAATTCTCCATTGTTTACTGCAAGTACATCCAGCTAACACGTCCCAAATAGGACGAAACGCGCGTCCTGAATCCTTTTGCTAGCTATAACCAAGTAACTTACACTTGACACTTCTTTTGTCCCGATATGGAACTCCTGAGTACTGAAAAGCCCTAACTTCTCATAGGATTAGATGCATGGATTTCAATTTTCATGGCGAGCACGCTACTATCAAGCTACTGGGTCGTAATTCAATGGTTTACATTTCCCTACTTTTGACAATTCATGATGTAGTGCGATCTACATCTAACGCCATCATTGAGTATTTGCCCGCATCTCCTATTACCTATTAGATTCCAAGATGCTATCCTCAAAACAGGATTCTTATTGGGAAATTGAAACCTAGTTATGAGCTCCATTGTTAGATGTTCGGATTGGATTCATAAACTAGTTACTAATACCTTTCTAAAACATCATAATTCCTGATTTTATTTGGGTAGAAAAACGGTGGATGAGTCACTAAGAGCTACATATTAAGACCGACTGTCTGTTTCATATTTTTGGCTTGTCAGTAACCTTTTGACTGATGTGTTTGATGTTTGAATCTACATCACAGCCATCCAAAAGTTCCAGTGTCTTACTGCTAAGGTTTATTATAGTTTGTAATGGATTCGAGTCGTAATTCCCAATTGGAATACGATAAAGCTTTTCGCTTACCTGTTTTCAATGACATTACAAGATTTTTTGTGTTTCAATATGGTAACAGTAGTTAAGATACTTTTAAGATTCATAGCTAGGACTCTACTCAAAATGCAGCTGATGGCCTTCAAGTTTCAAAGGCAGTAAAGTATACTTCAGTTAGTGCGAAGCAGGCCGACATTCCGATGCTGGCTGCTATCTAAATTTTTACAGCCATAGTCTTCATCATAGTCATCATCCAATTGAGATCATTTCCAATATTCTGATGAACGGTTATGTTCATTCATATATTTTTGTTAGTTGATTAGGTATGTCAGAGTTTAAGATGAAAATCTTCCGAACTGTTAAATAAACTGGTAGAGATTTTAATTGATGTGAGGTGGAAATGATTCACCTCCATTACGATTTCCATAGTAATTCTTTTTAGCATCAGTCGCTGAAGTGACTGACTGTTGATCTGATGAGTGTAGACCATCTGGCTGGGGTCCTCGAGATGATAAGAATCCATGGTTGAGGACTCTTGGTGACATGAGTGAAAACCAGTCACAATGGCTCAGACGTATTCACTTCTTTTAAAGCCTCAATGTCTGCACTACTTGTTGCCTTCAAACTGTTTGTTTTTCTCATACAAATTTGTCTACTTAGATATCAGTCTGTTTCCTTTCACCTGTTCTTTGTGCACTGATGTGAAGGGTGGCAACTTGAACCGATGCAGCTGTGTGCGAGGTTCTATGTTGATTTTGTCGGTCACTTAGTTATTTCTGGACATGTTACACGTTAGAGATTTAATTCTAGATTAGTTTTCCACTAGGTGGGAATATTCAGGAATTGTATTCATTCACTATGTCTTGAAAACGTCTCAGACACTTACTCTGTTCTATCACAGTCAAGTGACTCGTTCTACAAAAGTCATATCAGCCTGTCTATCGATAAATCAGATTTTTATTTGACCTTGGGTGGGAAATAACGACCAGAAGATACCTAGTTGAGTTATCTCTAATATTAAAGTTACTTATCAACTAGCTGGTATACTACCCTACTCTAAAAAGGAATTAGATCTGGTTGACACTCATCTAATGACGTTTATATAATAAAGCGATTGAAATGTAATATGGAGAATACTTCTTACGATTTAACTGCAATCTAACAGTTGCTTCTTAAGTCACGGATTCTGCAACAAAATAACGTCTGTCAGGGAGAATTTCCAAAGGCTTTTATGTGTAAATGTTACCAATTTTTTACCAATAAGTATTTATAACAAAAATATTCTGCATTTGTCATGGTGAAAAGAAAATAACAATAGGGTTTTGACATAGGTCAGAAAAAGCTTAGCGAAAGAAAACTTTCAGCTCTGAGAAAATAGTGGAAAATCTTCTTAATATAATTCCACACTTATATATGTATGCCCGTTTTGGGATATTATGAAAGTAAACACTGGATTGTTACCCATGTCTTTGACATAAACTATTTTTATTGCTGTACAGAAGTGTTCTTCAAGGAAATATCTCCAGGAAGGTATGTTTCTCCACGAAGATAAAAGAAATGATGTCCTACATAACATCACATAAAATATGATTGTTGCATAGAATAAAGTTTGTCGATTGATGCATCAAAGATTGACGGACAGTCTGTAGTACTGTTGTTGCCAATGACAATATTAGATGATGTGACTGGTGTAAATTTTCCATCTAACCCAAATAAATTTGGCTTTGAATTTGTACAAACTGGATTTGTGAAGTTACTTAGTGTAGACATTGTTAAAGAAGAGTGTTCTGAAGTCGTGTTGATTGATGAGTTACACTGAAGATTAGCTGTATACTCATCATCAGCTCGACTTGGTTGCATCATATGGATGAATGGGGAAGAAGAGGAAGACATTATTCTTTTGCTTATTAAACTATCATCGGAATCATTTTCATTTCTCGGATTAATTTGAAGTGGTTTGGTTTCCGGTAAACCACCAACTGGATTAAATAGGTAGGCTTAAATAAAAAAACAGAAAGTTATTCGATGGGTTAATTTGCGAGAAACTAACTTATTCCAAGGTAATTTTCATCAGGGATCAACGACAACTAGAAAGACAGTGGATACTAAGATGCTATGAATAGCTGTTTCGTCATAGTTTGGGACTGTACACTGGTGTGCATTAATGACTGACTTAAAACTATATTTCATAAAGTTCTGGTGAAAATTCACTACCTATTGAGTAAAATATGAGAATGAATGCTCACTAGTCATTTTGAACTGTGGTTGCTGTTATGGTGAGAAACAAGAACTACTTGATCCCAACACAATGGCCGAATGACTATCCTGTCCCTATGGCAACTAAATTCTTGAACTCAATCTCAAAGAGATCATGATTGTGCACAATTAAATATTTTCAGACAGGAAAAAAATATTTGTTCAATGCTTATAAGTTTTGAAGCAATTCTTCGGGGAATTTAAGTTCATAATGTAAGCAACATTACTGATAACGATTATCTGACAAGTTTTCGAAGTAGAGTCTTACAAATCGTAAGCACAATACAACGAAAAATCTATAAACTCTCAAAGTATATCCAGTTTATTAAAATGTTAGGGTTTGAAACGAAATTTCCATAAGTTAGTCTTAGCCTTCCTGTAGTCCATTGAAAAAAGTCAACAAAATAGCTTAGGGCAAAAAATAACTCATTACTCAATAACCAAGTGGACTTAATGCAGCAACTTCCACTAGAAATGTTCCACTCCGATTAACTGAAACGATTTGTAAAGGCATCTGTTTCATTTAACATCATGAAGTGCCACTTCTGAAGCAAAACTGATGCAAAAGTTTCCAGTGACAGAGTTATGCTGAGTGCATATACCATTACGAAGGAAACATATGGTATTTCAAATGACTGACTGTAAAAAAGTGGCTTGTGAAACAGTAAAATATCATGACAAAATTGAAGATAGAATGCATTTCTTTTGAACATAACGATCAGGCTATTACCGTTGGATTTCCAAAGCCTCTAATGTGCTTAGGTGGCAAATTTGCACTCCCATTAAAATACTTTATTTTGGAAAGGGATACATTCAGTAACTAATTTCGCCTTGCTTGTAGTCTCCATAATATAGTTAGTTTATTGCTTCGAAAATGAAGTCAAACCTTTCAAAGAGAGTAGGTATTCACCGCCTCAGCACACCAGAGGCTTTGGCAGTTCAGTGTTACAAACCTGATCTTTGAGTACAACATCAGTTTAAGTTACTGCGCTGATGTGCAGTAAAACAACGATTCCAAGGTATAGATGCAAGTCTTGAAACGGCCGGAATTAAAACTGTTGAAGTATTAGAATGGTTTGAATACCTGTTATAAAAATAAAAATATTAGGTATAAATTTGTCACTAGGATAGGCTTTCAGCTACATTATCAAGGTTATAAGAACCACAAAATCCCATCGAACTGGGGTTTTTAGCTAACATATTTACTTCTATTCCCAAATGAAACCATTAATAAGCCATCGTACAAACCAGTGATATGAACTTTTTCTGTCATTTTGGTCTCTCTTCCTTTCTTCATCAACTTCAAATTATATTTGGCACCAAGTAATATGCCAAGCTATCTGTGAATATATCTAAAGTACACTATTTGTAACCTAAAGTAGTGGGTGAACTTATTCGAATCTCTGAACTGCAACTATTTATCCAGGCAGGTGTAACTAAAAAAACACGAAGTGTGTTGGGAAACAAAAAGCTATTCATGAATAATCAGGGGTTTGTGGTACGTTAAATATCGCACTGTTCTTAGCTGCACCAAATGATAACTGTTATTTTGAAGTGATATGCTAAGAGTCAGGTGGCAGAAGGCTACAGACCTAAGATTATTGCTTGTTTTGGCACTTATCAACAGGATGTATCAACAATCCTGAAGAAACGAGGAAGCCTGCTAGTGATTCAAACGTACACACTTAGCTGTTCAGGTCATGAGTGACCCGTTGAAGAAGTGGATTATCTGCACGAATTGGTCACCAGACGATAACCGATTTAGATTTTCGGTCTTCGTTGCCTAGCAGTGACTAACGTTAGTCGATCATATCTGCAATATGGTCTCTAAACTATGGGGTGTCACACTGAGAAACATTGTATTTTGATGTTTAGAGTCACTTGGAGCTTTTTGACCATTGCCTTACCTCAGTGATAAGCTCTGAGAAATGTACAGCTATACTGGTTAACCATTACCGACTCATTTGTACATACAACTGCTATTTATTGTCATAAGAATGTTAAGAATCTAGATTCCCTGTTATCTTTCACCAGGATTTTCCTAAAACCGAATTACTATGGTGAATTTGTGGATAAATATGGTCACTATAATTTGCCTTGTAATATGTTTGTTTATTCTGCATACCAGAGATTATTAAAGCTTACTTAGATAGCCTAGTTGAGCAGAAAAATAACCATACCAAATTCGTGATAAGAGCAACTTTCCAATCAATAAATCTTTACAAATCGCAAAACAGTCTCCACCCAGTGCTCAATAACGAGTTGTTTGATGGGAGATTTCTAGAATCAGTCAAGTCAGGAGTGAAAAGAGGGCCCACTCATGACACTGGGTGAACTGACAAAAGCTGGAAAATAAGGCCAATTAAAATTCCAACTTGCTTATTCAGAACAAGATCTGACGTTCTTGAACTCGATCTCCCACGAGGTCATGAGTGCTCACTATCGAAGCGTCCTGTACCAGGATGAAACAGATGTTTAGAACTGTTACTTCTCTACAGTTTCTCTAACTGCTATTACTCCGAGATTACCACCACTTTCATACTGACATTTGGTAAATATTCGATAGATAAATATAGCCAAAAAGGTGGTTTAACAGTCTTAATTTCAGCAATACTGAAATCACTAATCACATGACTGGGTTCGCTCGATATCTGGTCAGCGGGTACGTCTCAAGTACCTTTTGTAGCTTATTATTACATACAGTCTTTCATCCAAGACAATAGAGAAAACTTGGAAATATTAAAATAGATTTCTACGAATGAACAGTGAAGCATTTCCTAGGAGCTAACTAGTGGAAGGAAAATGTACTTGAATTTATAAAAATCATCAAAATTAAATGAGCAATGAAAAACTACTTCATGATTTCGCTCTCATGATCCTGGTTTTCATATTTCATGGTGTGCTAAATTGACTAAATCAATTTGGTGATTGACCGTGAAATCTATTCAAGACTCATCAGATGAATTTACCTGTGTTCAAGTGAGTGATGGTTTCTCCACTGACAATTGGCACCGAATTTTTAAGATGAAGCAACTTCATTCAATTGATGGTACCAAATTGAAACTCAGTCACACCACTGACCAGTGGCTTCCTGCAGAGATAGTGATAGGCCAGTTAAGGTGAACCAGTGATGAAATTCAGGACTGATACTTAGACTAGTGGCTTAGCAGATGGTTTGATTGAAAGGCTAGTCCAATCACATAGTTTGTATGGAAATATGTAAAAGGATATTTAATAATAAATTCGGTTATGGCAGTTGATCATTTCACTGTTTATTCCTTTATTTCATCAGGTGAAGAACACAATAACTAGTTTTTCTGATTCACATAGTCCTTTAGTCTATCACAATGGATAGGCGAATTCTTCCTATCTCCATTGTATTTCATCTAATATATATCTTAATGGAAGGGGTTAAGATCTTTCCAAAACAAAAATAAGTTGGACCACTATAAACACACGTCAATCATAGTTCATTTTAACGGCTGATTCAGATGCAGCTTTGTGAATATAAAGAAAAACATTTAAGTCTTATTAACTTTCTTTATATTCGAATGTACTGAGTTTATTCTTGTCAAACATGATGAATATGACCAGATTATTGACAGACAGTGATTATGAAGATATAGTAATTTTATGGAGGAGGGCTTCATCGCCATCTTTTATATATCATAATCAATAGCAAGGTGAAGGATCAACTAAGTGGGTGATGTTTCACGGTGGAGGAGAAATTTGTTAGTTTAATGCAATTTTAGATGTGGAAAGTTTACAAAACAAACGATAAAGTTAGTCGATCTTGGTGACTAGAAGAGGAAGCCAGGACACGCGTTTATTCCTACTTCGAACTCGTCAGCTGCACCTGCACCCCAGTGAGTGCTGTTCCTACAGGGGATCGAACACAGTACCCTCCGCTTCAAACACCACAGCGTCTTCCACCAAACCACTGGGGCACGATAGGCAACTCTTGACCAACGGGTGACAGTTATTGTAATGGTACTCATAATTTCCCGTCGCCATACAGGGCCAAACTGCTCTACAATAAAGTAAGTCATTCAATTTGTAGACAGTTACTACCAAAATCCCTAAAATACTTCTGATAGTTAAGTCATTAGTTACAATTAGGCATATTTAGTTTAGTGTCTACCTTACTCATCTTTCTAGTTCAAAATTTAGTTGATTTTTATATTATGCAGCTGTTAAAATATTAGTGAAAATGTGTTGAGATAGTTTCTACTGGGATATCTCAACAATCAGGGTAATCCGAAAACTGCAGCGCAATTAAGTGTATGATCCATCCCAGTGACTTTAACTCAGCTTGTTTCTTTCACGAACAGAATTTTAGCTGATGAAATCCTTCGGAGTAATCCAACTCTGTTCTGTTGAATAAGCTTTTGATCTATTATTATTATTATTAGTCCCTTGGGTTCCTAGTGGAACATAGGGCTTCAGAAGCACGTCTCCATTTCATCCTGTTCTCTGAGATCTTTTGAACCTGGTCCCACGGCAGCCCAGAAGCTCTCATTTCCTCCTCGCACAACCTCCTCCATGTCACCCTCACCTCGGACGTCCAACTCGTCGCTTCCCATGGGGATTCCACTCGAGCAACTGGCCTGACGCGTGATGTCCTCAGTCGGCCTTCTCAGTGCATGCCCAATCCATCTCCACTTCTTCCTGCATATTTGTTGCGTGATAGGTTCTTGGTTGGTTCGTTCCCAGAGTTCCTTGTTGCTTATTCTTTCTGGCCATCTGATATTCACTAGCGAGCGTAAGCAGTTGTTGATGAATGTCTGTAGTTTATTGGAAATGCCTTTCGTGACGCGCCAAGTCTCTGAACCATACAGGAGCACTGACTTGACGTTGGTGTTGAAAATCCGTATCTTGTTCCGCATGCTGAGTGCAGAAGATCTCCACACTGGTTTCAGGCCAATGAACGCCTGTCTTGCTTTTCCGATTCTGACTTTGACGTCCTCGTCCGTCCCGCCCGTAGTTGAAACAGCTTTTGATCTAACTGAGTTTAATCCAATACATACTCTACTACAATTTCTTAAAGTAGGACCGCTGATGGTTTAAAGCTCTATGAGCTTAGATACATTCCATCACCAAACTTCATGATATCATCAACATTAACTTCATAGGATAGAACTCAATGCAACAAGAATAACACTTACGTAGGTCTGATATATTTGGATTCCTTAAATCAAATAACATAGTGCTCGGAGGTCGAATCATACTCATCTGTTCATTTGTAATCAAGGGATTTGTAATTGCCATTCTTCGATTTGATTGTTGCCGAGATTCTTGAGCATGTCGACGAGCAAGCTTTTTAATCTACAAATAATATGCATAAGGATAATATTATATTCTTTCTAAAGATACTGTAATATACCTATAAATAATGCAGTTAAATGCCTAAGGGCTGCTTATGCAAAACAGAAAACTTAATTAACTCTATCATGAGGTACACCAGTTATTAAAAGTGTTTTTAATCTGAGTTTTAAAGTTGAGTGTCTTTTCGATGAACTGTATTACCCATGAAAAGCAAGTCACTCAAATAGATGTAAGAAGATTCAAATCAACAGATATGTGGTGAATAAATGTATTATTTGTGTGGTTAGCAACCTATCTGTTGAAGGTTTAAATTTCTCCTTGAAAATCATAATTGACACTAATATCAGTCAATAACAATTTGAAACTCCAGACCTTTGCCGTTACCACATTCTTAGAGTATAACAAAGTGGTAATTTATTAATTGTATGAATATTGAATCTTAATTTTTCTCAAGGTTTCAGGCTGACAGACCGACTTTTAACAGCATGCCTGTGAGAAATTTTTTAATCAGATAGGTGTAAACCAGTTTTGGGAGGATCTTTCTTGTGGTGTATGACAAATTTATTAATTCTTCAGAAGAAAGACTATTTTTTAATTTGAATATCTAAGAAAAAGATAAACTGATAACACTAAGTCAAATACATGTATGATAAATGTTAATGAAGGAAAACCATATACTAATTGATCATTAGTAAGCAATCAGTTGCACGTTGTCTAGTCCTCCGCATTCTCTGTGACATTTTGCAATATGACCACCAAACTAGAAGGCTAGTCATGGCGATGCACTTTGATGGATGTTAGTCGGTTGCAGGCAGTCAGAAGAAAGCCTTACGCTTTGCATTTGAAATCTAGTCAAAGAATTTCTACTACCAGGTGAGTTACTAAACCCAGTAATTTCAAGTTCGCTGGTTTACATCAAACAATTAGTCAAGTTTTGTTGAATACTCTGTCTTTATGCTGAATAATACAGGTTTTTCATTAAAATTCTGGATATTCCTACCTGCCACTGTTTTCGTGCTCTGTAAGATCAGTGCTACTGGTATGGCAAAACGCTATTCCATTTGTCAATAATAGTGTCACTCAGTGACTGTTGAAGATAAAATGGAAATCTAGGCTGCGGCAGGATTCGAACCGGTGACCTCTGGGTAACCGGCTTGGTGTTCTACCAACATTACTAATAAAAGATAGGATGTCTGTATCCCGATATTTTATTAAATATTAGTAAGAAATTCACTTTATATAACTCTCATACATTTGGATTAAAGTGAAATCTGTTTAACATATAAACGAACAAATTACATAAGTGTATATCAGAGATCCCTTCAACATTTATGTGTTTCTGATAATAGCAGGCGTTTCAATCTTAGTCAGACTATGAATTAACTGAAATTATCCTCCAGTAATTTGTGTACCTATATAATTATATAGGAATCTTCCGCCTGTAATAGTTCACCAAATTCATTCTCTTTACAATATCTTTAAGCAAAATAATTACTGCATTTTAATAATGTTAATACTAACAGTAATTAAAGCTCCGATGTGAAAATGGCACGCAGTATTACATTAGCGTTAGGTTTCAACTGGTGAATGAGGAGAAATTCAAGCTTAATCTTGGTAGTGGTAGTCGTAGTAGTAGCAGTAGTAGTAGTTTATTCAGCCAGTACTAAAATCTGTAGTTCGACAGGGTTATCCAAGGAATAGGAATGTATTTAATTTCTGTGCATTTATAAGCCCATCTTTTTCTTTCTTTTGTGGTTAACTTGAAAAATGGCAGTTTGAAACCATTTTATAAGTCCGCGAAAGTACACAATCCTTTTAAAAGACATATGTAAAAGATTTAAACAAAGCAGAAAAGAAGATTCTGATGAAATATATAAGGTGGAAGATTTTCGGTAGCCTTTTAAACTGAAGTGGCTTTAAAAACTACTGATGACTTTTAGACAAGATGAAATATTTGAATGTTATTCTTTGTCATTTTTAATCACTTTTGAACTGGCACCAGGACCAATCTATTAATCCAGAGTCTTCTCACCTGAGAATCAGCTTTCTCTGTTTAGTTTATAGAATTGTAAACATTATTAGTGATTGGCATAACAGTTCATTATTCAATATTTTTTATTCAAAGATATCAATTACCTTTGCACGTTGATTTTGAAACCAAACTTGCACAACACGAATGTTTAAACCAGTTTCTGTTGCCAAAGCTTCACGTATCTAAGTAAAAGTATAGTGACAGACACAAAAAAAGTATTCAGGCAGTTCGATGTCTATGTGAAATGAATAAATATCACTATATACCTTATCATTTCGAATGTTTGTTAAAAGATTATTATACCTGACATCTTTTATAGTGGTTGTGAAATATTTTTTTTTGGAAGGAATCAGTATGAGACTTTACTTAATTCAGTCGTTCATCAGTATATTTCCCGAATCCAACTTCAACCTGTTTTCTTAAAGTCAATGGATTGAGATATATTCAGGAGTGGAGGAGTGATTTTTTGATATCTGGACTATTTCTTTTGTAAGTCGAATCTTTTAACCATGTTTTTATTACTTTGAAGTCCCTAGAAATATCAAGCGGATGGTAATATGAAGTAATACACAGAAAATCTGTAATTAAAAGTAAAGGTGATGATTCTTCTGTATTTCCTCAGCGAAAATGTTTAATCACGAATGTTTCATTTCTTGCTGATATTCCTGAATTAGCCTATATCTGTTAACTAAACATCCATTTGTCACTAGAAAGTAACCGATTTCATGCTGACCGAACTATATTGACCATTCTGCAATGTGGTCACTAAGCTAAACAACTCACCGTACAATGTTAGTCTACTTTAAATGATTCAAGGCAATATGTAGGAAGATGGTAACCTACATTTCATGCTTATTGGTACTCATCAGAAAGGTTCATCTGCAACTTCTATAGAATTTAGTCACCACTTAGGAACGAACAGAATGAAAATGATTACTTTCTGATGACCAGTCAATGTATATCGGTCAGTCCTACAAAAGGTGTTTTGCTGTTCGAACAGCTCATTAGTACGGAGTCTGGCTGAAGACCTGGGTGACGCTAGTTCAGATCTCTCAGCAAGAATACACTTAAAGATGCAAATGCACCCTGATGATGAGTTTCAACAGGTGTGAAACATAAGTTTCCAGTTTCTTGCCGTTCGCCTTCAACTACTTCACATCTGTGTTTCATTTCGAAAGCTGAAGAAAATTCAGTGTATCACTTATTTCATATCATGCATTCTAGAGCTGTTTTAGGAGTTTGCGCCAATGGGATTGATGAATGGTGATATATTGTATCACTGTCATTACCTAAAGGGATCTCTTTCCGCTGACATGCAAAACACTGACAGTCTAAATTCTTACAGAGGCCCATATTGCTGTCTTCGCGACCTCACTGTTTAAAGGGAACAAGAGGATAAATATAGTGTTTAGTGTCTCACAAAGATACCAACTTGAAATGACCCACAAAGTTTGTTTTAAGGATCACACTATTGACTGTTTAATGTAAAATGACTTAAATTAGTATCAAATAATTAAATGACAGCACCCATAAAATGGATGTCGACTTATGAGCGATGCACATATTGTTATCCTAGCCAACTAAATTTCCAGAGTAGATCTTAGGTTAGAAAACTTCCGGTGTATGATCTAGCGAAAGACTAAGGTAAAAAGAATTCATGTGATTCATCATCTTTATCAATAAAATACTGATGGTCTTAAAATTCAATCTGCATAAAACACTTGTCAATACTCACTATCTATTTAAATGACTCCTCATAAAACAAGCAGTTTGCGTCCACATAGAACATTTCTCATAAGTTCTCTGGTAAGAAAACTTTCCCATATTTGAATACAGCTACTTACAATTTTTCCCACAATTTGCATATTTCAAAATGGAATACACTAAATAAGGAGTTATCTAAAGATAGCTAACAAACCACCTGTATGATTGAATGTGAATTTATACAAATTCAGTAATAGTCACCTTGAAAGTTGGTCATATTTCTTTGGAAATATGGTTACAACAGTGGTTGGAAGGTATGGGAAAGAAAGAAATAATATGAAAATTTGAAGAGTTCAACTGAATAGTAGAGTCAGTGTATCTTCTATGGACTAGAATTATACGAAAGAACTCAATTTGAAAGTTCGTATGGATTTATTTATTAATTTTAGGTTGATAATTATCATGGACTGACATCAGTTGCAGAACTATGGGAAACCTACTAGAACTGGACAGTTGTTTTGTCCTAGTATGTGACTCCTCAGTAGTACACACCCATAAACGCGTCAGCTATCGAAACCAAATCCTCCAGGTTCCGTGGCCAGCACATTACCATTGCGCCATTGGGTCGCCATCTGGTGGTCGAAATTTCTTACTTCTGTCGTCTCATAATACAGCGTGACATCCGTCAATAACGTCTATTAGCAGGTGTTTCACGTCCTACGTGGCTGGCCCCATCGGTCAGCATTTCTCATTAGAATTCACGAACCTTATTTCGAAACAAGTCGCCAATAAGCAATAAAGTAATCGAAGTACTTCGAGATGAGATTCGCGAAGTTCTAATGAGCCAGCCGAGCAGGACGTGAAGATACTTACTCATCGATGCCATTGGATGTCGCGCTATATCATGAAATGACAGAGTAAAAAATGTCGATCACTGGATGGCAACCCACTGGCCCAATGGTAATGTGCTGGCCACGGAACCCGAGAAAACCCGGTCACTGATGGGGTCATGCACGTTCATTGCTGAGGAGTCCCATGCTAGGACGAAAGAGATTTCTAATTTCCACAGGTTTCTAATAGTTCTTCAGCTGATTTCAGTTAATAATGATTAAAAACCTGAAATAATTTAATCTATTTCCAAAACCAATGTTCTAGATGTGAAGAGATAAATTCAGCAGAAAATCTGCCTAAACCAAGGTTTTCAATCCACTCTTCATTCATTATTCTGTAAAATATTCTCAGATGCAATGTATCTGAGATGGTACCGAGTTTAATAGAACCAAATACCAGACTTTAGCATTTAAGATTTGTTTTCAGTGAATTTGTAAATAATAAATATTTTTGTAAAACTGGCGATTATTATACGCAAAAGACTCCCTTTCTACTTGAATGGTTCTAACAAAAGGGTGAAAATTGTGATGAACAAAGTATAATTTATTCAACTAAGGTAAACCTCTACAAATCTGGAAGTAATCATCGAACTTCAATACTCATACATAAAACAAATCTTTTAAACAACTTGTTTTACCTTACGTGTTGGCTTAGGATTAAATTCGAAAACCGCTTTAAATCTTCGACGCTGATTGACTGTCAATATAGTACGTGGACGTTTTGAATTTTTACCAGATTCAGAATCACTATCTATTTCGTATAGTTCATCATCATCCATTCTGTCAGCATCTGAGAAGAAGCAAAAAATTAGTATTATTATCATTATCATTATTATTATTATTATTACTAAATGATTTTAAAACAGTCTCTTTTTCGAAAGGCACCAAGTTACCATGAAAAATGTTTGAAAATCATAAAATATTGGGTGATGATGGTACTCAAGTTAATTACTTCTTGCTCGTTAATATAAAAACAGTTGAAATAAACCTCTAGGTACCGGTTTCTCATAGGTAGTCTTGGATTACTCTTAAATTTAGGACCCAGTAATTTCTAAAACATGTTCATCAAAAAGTATGTCAAGCTTATAATACACGCTGAAGGAAACAGCGGTGGAAATAGACTTATGAACAATAAATATCATTAGGACAAGAAGAAGTAATATTTTCGTGCAATTCAGTAAACTAGATTTATTCTCTTTATTATCCTTATGAACAGAATTCTGAGTTTTGAAGGAGGAGAAAGTGTTAATAACCATTTACATATACCGTAGTTTTTCGAATAAGCCTTCGTCATCAACCTGGACATTACGTTAAAATCACCTATCTTCCTCAATGAAGTATAACAGATTACAGATAGTTCCAACTTTGTTAACTGTGGCACTGAGCACATCAGTTTTACCACCGTTACTTTCTAGACCTATCCTATAAGAAGAATAGCTTCTTATCGTATTCATCATAAATATCATAACAGAAGGTTTTTTATAAACTGTCATACATAAAATGTGACTTATCTGCGGAACATATGTAAGTTCTCAGTAAATAATAAAGCATCGAGGTCTGTCAACTGCGGCTAATCAATAAATTAGTCTACAGTGTGGATATCCCTTCCAAATTACTGTGTACAATACTTCCTCAGTGAACTATGAGAATTTGCAACTAACTGACTTCTAAGAACATGTACTTCCAGTGGATAGTATAAACCGGCCAAAGACCTGGAAGGATATTGGGCTGTGAATGCATACACCGTGATATGCAAACGCACTTAATTCAGAAACTGATAGCTGCCATGTTCATTCAACTGACAGACGACAGATAGCGTTCGGTTAAGAAGACTTCCTTACAACCCCTTGATATCATTCTGATTGACTTCTCTAGGCGGAGTATCTACAATTTGCTGGAGATTATTCAATTTACAGTATTTTGGAGTACTTTTTTGATCCCGAAATCTCGACATTAACGAATGCAGCTACGTATGCGTTTGTATTCCGGAATTCCGTAAATTGTCTACAAATTGTAGGCAAAAATTGGTGCTAAAATAGGAATCCTAGGTCCAAGGCTTTCGAGTCACTACTATATATGCTGAATGTTAAATTCACTAGATTTCTAGCTACATATCATAGTGATATCACGGCGAACGTGATGGGTCGGTATAAATCAGTTATGTTAAGAAAGACGTCTTCTTTTAACGTTAGATAATATACATTTAAACTACTGCAAGGGGAGAGATTTTTCATTGCATGTGATCACTTTATCTTTTAAAATAGATTAATAACCCAGAGTTAAATGAAAATGGCTGTTTTATCCCAAGTATCTTGGATAATCTTAATAAACAGACAGTTTCTAAGTTGTGTAGGCCTTCTCTGCAATCTCAAAAAATCTCATAGAGATTTTATATTACTTTCGCATTCAGTAATCTTTCTGAATATCTTTTCACTACCGTGTGAATTGGTTTATAATTATCTTAAGCTTCATATCAGAAGTATTTTCTAACTGATCACAATGCTTTTGTTGGCTTTGAAGATATGATGCACAGAACATAGGAAAACATGGGACTTGTATCGCAAAAGTAAATGACAACAATAGGACTGATTTGTAGATAGCGAAATAATTGAAACCCGTTGACATATTAGATAAAATAATATTTCTGCATCATAATTCTCAAACTCTACTGTATGAAGCTAATTACTGTAAGATACTAATCAGAAAACCCCTTGGTTTTACATGGTTGGAGGCAACTGGCCGGAAGCCGTGAACCTGGGTTTCCTCCTCACTTACACTTGTCGACTAGGTGTTTTTGAAACCTTAAGAGAACTGATATCTTATATGGGATTCAAACCCGTATCATCCAATACCGCAGTCGGAGATGCAGTCGCTGAGTCAAGTGCCTTCATCCTCCACGACTGTGTGTATTTTAGTCTGGCGTTTCATTTTAAAGTGATATGATTTGATCAACACTCAGAAGTAGGCAACATCAGATACGATCCTCTCTTCTAACAAATTAGTGAAAACACTAAATTTCTGCCGATTAAGTGAAAGCAGCCTACTGTGCAACATTCTTCTTCATCTTCTTGCTACTGCTACTGCAGAAGATAACTGTGTGCGGAATGTTTTGCCTACCCACATATACATTACATCGTAAAAACTCCTGAAGTAACAGTTACGGCCATTTATCCGGGCAATGATATAAACCAGTCTTAAAGACTTAATGTGAAAAATAATCATGTGTACCTTAGAGTGAAACAAAAGCATTTTAAATGACATTATTTGCCATCTATGCTAAACCATGCACAATATTATCAACAACCATAATATAAAATTAATTTGTCAGCTGATTCAGCACTACGGTTTCAACGCAACGAACTTCATTAAACAGCTACATGATTATGATGATGATAATACATGACAAGTGATTCACAACACAACAGAAAGCTCAGTAATATCTGTCGAGTGGAAGTGAAGACAGAAGTAAGACAAGCTTGCCAACAACTATCACCGATGACATTCCTCTTTGTGGTACACTGAACTGGACTGAATTCTTCAACAAACTGTGAGAAGCAAAAGACGGACATACGCTTGCCGGACGATCACAAGACCATAGAAGATATGGTGGATTTCACCGCCGTGATGGTGCTTTATATCTATTGCCTCGTCGCACAAACTCGAAGATATACAGGCGAAAACTTGCAGTTGCAGAAGAGGTGAGACGACGCAAGGTGAGGCAGTGAAGGAAGACAGGACTTCCTTCAGGTGAGGTGAACGTAGAGAAGACCGAGGTGATGAAGATACCCAACTAACACCATCACAAACAACAACAAGCAGCAATCACAAACAACGGGAGAAATCGGAAGGGAGTTGTCTCTCTCACCCACCTGTCTATGCAAAGCAGCATCATTTCAACTACAGCCAGCAACGGTGGCGCCACAGATGACGATGTCAACACAACCAGGATGGGAAAGACAGCATGACACACCTTCCTTCATTAATCGGAAATAATCAGTGTGGAGACCGACTGCGCTGCACTACACTACACTACACTACACTCTCACTCCACTGCACTCCACTTCACTTCACTCGGCATAAAGCGTGAACGATATCTGGATTTTCAACACGAAAGGCAGTCGAGTGAGTCAACACTTCCATTTGAGGGTTGAGAGACTTGGTGACGCCTTACGACAAGCATTTCAAACAATCTTCAGACACACATCAGCAGCTCCAAACCTATGCTCACTCGACACTGACACTGAAGATCGGATGAGAAGGTCAGAATAATCAGAATAAGCAATAAGGAAGACGGAACTCTCTCTGGCTGGCTGGCTGGCTGGCTGGCTGGCTGGCTGGCTGGCTGGCTGGCTGGCTGGCTGGCTGGCTGGCTGGCTGGCTGGCTGGCTGGCTGGCTGGCTGGCTGGCTGGCTGGCTGGCTGGCTGGCTGGCTGGCTGGCTGGCTGGCTGGCTGGCTGGCTGGCTGGCTGGCTGGCTGGCTGGCTGGCTGGCTGGCTGGCTGGCTGGCTGGCAACGAACCAACCCACAACCCATCTCCCAACAAATATTCAAAAGAAGAGAGTGGAGATGGATTGGACTGCACCTGAGCTGAGAAAGAAGACGGCTTGTAGACATCACGCATCAGACCAGGTCAGGTAGGCCAGGTCAGGCCAGGCCAGACCGGGCCGTAGATTGGAAGCCGAATGGGAAACGATGATTTGGGCGTTGGAGGCGATGGTGAAATGGAGTTGATGATGTGAGGAAGAAATGAAAGGTTGTGGGTAGTGGTAGAGTCAGGTTGAAAGGACTGCAGAGAAGAGATCGAAACTGTGACATCCTACTGAATTCCTATCTTCCACTAGGAACACAAAGGATAAATGGTAACAATAATAAATAGTATCGAAAACAGTCAGTTAGTTCTTCCTAATTTCGAGTAAACTTTTAGGCTACACTAAGACCTAATATTGTTTAATCTCCGCTTTTATTTAACTGTTATAAATACAACAGGATCATGAGAACTACGTGATATATTTTGTACTCATTCAAAAAAGCAATTTACCTTTACTTGAATCCTCACTTGAATTCGGTGCAGATATATTAATATCCGACAGAAGAATTGAATCACTCAATAAACTTGTTTCATTAACACTACTATTAGTAGTATTTTTATCTGAAATATCTTGTTTTATTATATCCAATTTCATTTCCATTGCTGTAAACCTACAGTTTTCATTGATATTTAAATCTTTGTCGGTTATTACTTCATTGAAATTCCATCTGTGTTGTTCTCTCATCCTTTCATTGTCATTATTCCTATCAGTTGGATTATTATTGTTATTATTACTGATATTTTCAAAGTGTATTGATTTATGCTTGTAAGACTCTTTTAGTTGTGTACACATGATTTGTGATTCTTCGTCAAGTAACTGTTTCTCATAATCCATCATACATAATGGCATACAATTTCTAATGGTATACTCTTCCCAGGAGTAAGTAAACGATTACAATCACAACATTTAAAACAGTATACATGAAAGTAGTGAATTAGAATGGAGAGATTAAATGAATCCTTCATAGATTCATTTTCTTCATTTAACAGATTGAATTCATATCCAACAGCTGAAAGTGAAGTTGCTATGGATTTTTGTTCAGATGGAATTATTTTCTTCCCAAAATCATGGTGCTCTGATAATGACTTTAAACTTTTGTAGGTATACAAGCGTAGTACGGATTCATTTGGTTGGATTGGTTGATTACAACCTTTACAACGAGTTCCAAATTCACTTTGAACAGAAAAGAAACATTTCATGATAAATTTTACAATTTCAAGGACTAAACACAAAAGACAAGGAACTTCTAATTTTGAGTGGCAATTATTGAAACCTTTATGGAATAACCAGTTATAATATATTTCGGACTGTCTAGAGCGATAGAATTTTATCAATAAAATTAAAATTTCCCAGCCATTTACTGGGACAGTATTTCCTTTATATAAACTATGATCAAGATTTGTTCGTATAGTATGGCAAATATTGGGCGGTGAGTACAAGGTTGACATTAAATATAGATTTTGTTTGTGTAAATCATAGCGGGTTTGAAATCAAATAATTTCAACGTTTCGCACGGAAGTCTGGTTTGAGCTTCTTTGGGTAGTATGTTATACCAATCAACTGCTACCCCCTTTTCTTTACGTTGATGAAGCATAAAACGTCATAAATCTTAGATCTACTTTATACTTATGCATAGCATAATATCGTGTATCCTCTTAAGCTCATATCTCTGCATTCTATAGCTATACAACCTATTACAACACTTATACAAACGCTCAATCACTAACAGGTAATCAGGTCTAAAGTAGTCAAAATTTTAGTCTACGTAGTATGATATTCAGCACTTAATTGGTAAATTTACTGAAAGCCGTTCACAAGTGTGCGAACATTTGGCTGCTATTAGAATACTCTGTGCCATCGCTCGTCATAGAAGTGAAACGTATCTTTATTAAAACTACTTGGTGTGTCCTGAACACCTTAGAATAAAAGGATGTTAGAAAATTAGGTAAAAGAGTAAGGGACTACTCAGATTTAAATAAAACAAGAAAAAATTCATATCCTAAACTTGGAACAAGATGAATAATTTGTTGTGGTCAGCTTTTATAATAAGATTCATTATTTCTTCAGAAGAATTCAGTCAACAAATTCACAGAAACCATTTGAGCCTTTGTTGTGACTGGAAGTGTATCTTGTTGAAGTGGTACCAAAGAAGTCCGCTATCTATGTCCAAAAAAATCTAAAACTTGCCAACTACCGAGGCTAACTGCCAAATGTAATATATTCTTCAATATGTACCCTAGTTACTCATATAGACATCCAGTGTCTAAAACGCTGCATATTGATTGAACCGAAACTGTTCTAACTTTCTAATCTCTTCCGGTTTCTTAGCTTATTTCCACACATTCAAAGCCATTTGGTATCAGGTAAATAATATACTTTTTAAAATTATAAGGTTTACTCCTGTCAACAAGAAATTGGCTATTAGCCTACTCTTAAAATTATAAAAGCGCGATCAGAGATCGGTTTTTATCCTCCCTTTTCACTTAAGTTAATGAGAAATCTTAACGTCTCTTAAATATGTGAGTACTAGGAAACAATTAAAGGCATTATAACAGACAGTTAGAATCAACGTCTAAGACGTCAAGGAGGGCATACACGTGCACCATTGTGACATTTTCAGCCGCACCACCAAGAGTCCCCAACCATGGACTCTTATCATCTGGTGGAACTCAACTATGCAGCCTACATCTCCCCATATTACTCAGTCTAACAGTCAAAGTCTTCATGGATTATAGTCACATCTTGATCTGGGAACCCTGAACCCTCTTACGGCCAAACCCAGCTTCTTCAAAGTATTATGCAGCATAAGGCTTAGGTTAAAAGAAAATATATCACACAAAATGTAATGAAGTATGGACCGTTACATACCAATGCAGCGGTCAAATATCAACTTCCTTTGCTGAGCTCACTTCCTTGTGGACTCAAGGGTACGCATCAGCGAGAAGTCAAAAAGTAGAACAAATAAGTATTTAGCGTCCTCCACTTTCGACTAAATTTCCAGGGTATATCTGTCAATAGTGAAGGCTGTCTTGAAAGCATAAAGGGTTGTTAGTACGTAAAATGAACATTTATCATACGTAATTTTCCTTGTTTGTACTATCTGCCTATCCAAATTCATCAATGTATAATTCAAGTTTTGTGGCTAAAAACTGAAGCAACATAAGTCTTCAAGACGTTTTCAGGATAAAATAATGTCAACCCATATCTTATCATTTGCATGGAATAACTATATATTTGTAGAACATTTATTCGAAGCCAGTACAACTTTTTTATAGTGAATTTAATAAAAGCAATAAACCAATGATTAGAAAGCATTCCGAGGATATGAATTTTACAGATGTTTTTATAAACATTCCACAATATTTCAGTTTCATTGCTACGCTTGTAATCACAATGTCAACTCCAGTAAAAGAACTATGATATATGAATAATGAGGCAGTAAAAGATTATCAAATTTGCATGATATAATCGTTTCTTATGAAATTAATGTAAATCGAATGAAGCAACTACCGAACTAGTTAGCACAGTTTTAGATAAAAGTGTATATTGTGTATTTCGTTCCTAGATTCAAAATTCGATCAGTTTCATGTTCTAGTTGATAGCGGGCACCCTTTTGAACAAGACTGCTGAAATCACTGTGATAGCATCCTATTTATAGATCAGTTTCTCACTGGCTGTCGATTTCATTCACCTATGCTATTTCTGTATAAAATGATGATTACCCGTTGGATTTCCTAAGTCATGAATTCTTATAGTTACTAAGCCATTTAAAATCATCTGTAGGCTAATGTATTAATTCTGTTTTAAGCGGAGTATTCTTACTCTCCCATCTTTAAGTAATATATCTTGTTCGATTGTAATCATTAGTTGCGAAGACAAAATAAGTATGAACTAAGACCTCCGATATTAGCACTTTGACTGTTATCTGGCCGAGTTATCACTTTCTGCTTAATAATCAATTCCTTGGATATTCGCTGACTTTTAGAACTGATATCTATGATGTTTAGCATGAACTACATACCATTATTCTACACGGAGGAATCAAGACAGCTATCAGCAGGTAACATGAGCACAAAATCTATTGAAGCAGGCTAAATAACATAAATGTCACTTGATCACTAAAATCAAACCTTGAATATATTAAACAGTCGACCAGTTCCAAGTTATCTAGTTGAATAATTGGCGAAATATGATCTAAATAAATATTACTTACTTGATATAATCATTTCGACAAAATAATCTTTGATCACGTACTAAACACTTATCCCTCAGTAGGCACTGACACACTGAACACGTGACACAATGTTCATGCCATGTATTTTGATCAATACACAGTAAATATGGATCCCAGATCGGTTGACGACATCCACAGCATAATGGTGGTGTAATATTAATCATTATTTATAAAGTCCGGGATATGTTAAAAAGAATTTTTTTTAAAGAAGGTAGTATTGTTTTTATTTCTGTTAATACATCCAAACTGAATTTATTTTTCAACTGCTCAATATTCAGTCTATCACTATTATTATTGTTAGCCCAGAAATTTGTAGGATGGTTAAAGTGAACCGAAAAGAGAAGGAATTATTTACGCTTATTCAAAACGCATAACCTCGAATAGACCAACCAGAGAGCAGGTAGGAGAAAAAAAACTATAAAAATTTTCCTGTAATCATAACTATGAGGATTGGTTTTAACCAAGTTTTCCATTCAGTCACTCAAATAGCCTACTGTTATTCAGACAAAAAAGAGAGAGAGAGAATGAGTAGCGACAGAGAAAGAGAAGGAGTGAGCTGAAAGAGAGGAATCATTAGTGTTATTCATTGTCGAACCATCGTGTTATGAAAAGTTCATTTAATGACTTCTAGTGTTCTCTTGTAAAATTTGAAATGAAACTTCTGTCCAGTAAAAATAGAAGTCTAGTGAGTTGACTCACAATTAAGCGATAGACAAGGTGAGTTTATTTTTAACTATGAGCATTTTGTGTTCCTTTTTTATTTATTTATATGTTTACTGATTTACTTTATTCGTTATGATTGATGATAAGATCGAAAATAGTTGTTTTAATTAAGAAATTAATTTTGTTGTTAGTTTTCAATTGCTCTTTTATTAATATTTTTTTTCAAAAAAATGTTTATCGTCGATAGAAGCATTAAAAATTCTTGTCTGCACGATAATCATTCAAGACCAATACAGTGTAGTATATAACAGAATCAAGAAAATATGAAGTAAATATAGAATAGAGTACTTTTGAAGATGGAATTTCTCAGTGGAATCAATATACTTTGTAATGACATGTGGAGAATATTTCATTTTTCTATTCAATGATTTATACTGTGACATCTTACAACATTCCATTAGCGTCCTGAAAATCACTACAGAACAAGTTAAGCCAAGGGAGGATAGATAGTCACGTTACATGAAGGATGAAATACAGCAGTACTCTGCAAAAAATAGAATTTCGGTACATCAGGTTCAGTGCTTTGCGACAAACCTCAAGTTTTCATTTTCGTTGCATAACAGATCTGACTTAGGTATTCCTTATTTTTCAGTTCTTCTGATCCATTTCTTGAATATCTTCAGCTGATTGTTATAGTGTAAACTCAGGTCACTTTGATCAAGCATAGTCAGACAAAACTTATCAAAAAGGCTTATTCTTGTGAAGGATATATCACAAATGTATTAAAAATGGATATTTCCATATCCCGTTTTTATTGAAATAAGGGTATAATCAGTTAAATATGGACATCATTATGTACACCATGAAAAATTAGTCGTTTGAAACTTCCCCTACACTGTAAAACGGAATAGAAGTGTTTTTCACCTTGGTATACACCACAGAAGGACATCAGTTCGCGGAACATTGAAAATCTCGACAGTTGTTTCGTTCCAGAATGAGACTCTTCAGCAGCGCATATCCATGACCGTGCCCCATTAAAGATCGAAACCAAGACCTTCAGGTTCTGCGGCTGGCACGTTACCACTGAGCCAATGGGTCGGGATCCAACAGTCCATATTCCCAACTTCTGTTAGTTCACGATATAGCACCACCATAATCAAGTATCATCGTTGAGTATTTGTTCTCATGACCGCCAGTTTGGAAATATGAACCACTGGATTCCAACCTAGTGGCCTAATAGTAACGTCTTGATCACTGAACCTGAAAATCCTGGGTTCGGTCCCTGATGAGGCGAAGTCGTGAGTGCGCACTGCTGAGGAGTCCCACACTAGGACGAAGCGGCTGTCTAGTACTCCCAGGTTTCCAGTGTCCCTCCAACTGATGTCAGTCCTTAATGAATACCAACTTCAAAAATCACTAAATCCCCATAAACGCCGAATTCAATTGAATAAGAGTAACTAAGAGAATTGAAAGTATAACAACAGTATACGTTTGTCACTAGATATTCTGCTGAAGTGAAATGAGGATCACTCTCGGTCACTTATTATTAAGATCCTCATTTATAACATAAGACTGAAGGATTTGATTTAAAACTCCAAGAAAGTGAGCAACTAGTTTTCACCAAGATGTTAGTTGTTCCAGTCCTATATTGAATTACATTTTGTTAATCAACATAGAATTTCCCTTAAAGCATTGCATTTCTTTTAACAAAGCTTAAATATAATAAAACAGTAAATTTTACTATGTGTTCACCTGTCATCTGCGATGACGACAATGCA